GTCTACTTTTAAGATTAGACTGAAGACTTTCCTTTTTCATAAATCCTATAGTTAGACTTAGGTTTCCTGAATTATTCCCTGAGATGATGTTTGTTGTGACTTTGCACCATATAAACAAACTGTATTGAAGCATATTTGACTTTTTTGCACAGGTGTTGTTCAGCTAAACACAACATGTTTGCAGTGGAGAACAGCTTGTTGTTGTATCCACAGATGTTACACTTACATTAACATTTATGTTGATGTGTGGTGCCAGGCCAGCCAGGGAGTACACATTGATGTCATGGTAACTGAACTGTGGTGTTGGGGGTCCGGTGGTAGTGCACGTGGTGGTGGTTGCAGCTGGAGTTGAGGTTGGGGCTGCAAATGGAACAAAGTCTCCTGTTGGTCACAAAATGCTAATTTAACAACAGTTAATTAGGATCACAGTAAAGTAACACACTGTTACCACATTGTTCTAAAAGATAAAGCAAAGTTAAAATGAAAATAATAATTGATAGTTAAATTTCATATGATCACAGTAGTTTGAGGACAAAAGGACACGTGTTCACTTTTATAAAGTAACAGTCTTATTTTAGCTTGTATGAATCTTTGAAAAGCAACAACCTGTAGTAGAAACTGGCAGCAACTCCTCTGGAGGTTTGGTTTCTTTCTTTGGTGCTGACAGCTGCTCGTCCAGGTTCTTCAGCTTGTCTTTGTCTTTCAGCAGGTTTCCTGGCTTCAGCTCGTTGATATCCAGAGATAAGTTCTTACACAGAACTTCAATCTCAAACTTCAGGTTCAACTACAGGAACAAGACCAGAGTATCATCATTACCTCAAACCACAATGATGCTTTTTGATGTGGTTAAAATTTGGACTAACAGAAATGTTACAGTTTATATCTGGTGTTTTTAATAGTTTCATTCAAGTTTTATCACATTACACAGTACTATTATTACTGTCTAGTACTTCAAACTGTCATAATTTCCAGAATTAAGACAAAAGCTGTGACCCTGTTTTTATGACTTGGCATCAACCTTCAGTGACAGATCTGACATGCAAGCAGCTAAAAACAGAAAACCTTCACCTTCAGGTCATGTTCTTGATGTAGCTCAGCAAGAACATTCATGATGGCCATAGTCCAAGGATTCTGAGGTCTGAAAACCTGCAGCGCACACACATACAAACAAAAAACACAAATTGAAATTCAACAAACATCACATTGTCCAAAACGTTCATGGGACAAGTTCTGTCCAGTTTAGTCCAGCTGTTTATGGGGAAAAACAAAACCACCTGCCTTAGGGCCAATAGAGTGGTACAAAGACATATCTGTAGTAAGATTGCTCACCATGCTACGCAGACTAGACTCCAAGACTTTGGCCACAAAGGGAACTACATAAAGAAGCTCCTGCTGGCCTTTCACATACGCTTCCAGCAGCAGAGATTTAAGCTCCAAATCCTGCGAAAATTGTGTGTTAGGCAGCTCTGCAGCAAATTATTTCACAACACAGTCAACAAATGTAAAGTTTATTCTTACTGTATAAAGAATGGGCTTGTTTTTGGCCAGAGTTATCATGCCTAACCAGTGGCCCAGGTTCTTCAGCAGGGAGCGATCAGAGAAGTTAGCAGCTGCCTTGTCTGACGTCAGAAGCACCTGTCAAAAATAGATGTTCAACATTTGAAAAACAGTGTCTAACAGGTCAAACTAACGTAGCTTATTCAGCATCACCAAGATAGACTTGAGATGTTTGGAGAGGACAAGCACTTCAAATGTTTAAACAACAACAGGCATGAACAAGACTTGTATTTTGTGCTAAATTACCAACTTCATCCTGCAAAATTCACCTTGATATTTCTGTAAGTTTCACTGAGAACCATCTTGACAAACTCTGGGTTCTTGAGAGTGTCCAAAAAGTTGGAATAGAGACTGTGGAAGTTAGGTTCAATGCTGACACGTTTCATCACCAGGTACTGAGATACCCATGGCATGAACTCTTCCTTCACAGTCTCCTTTAACTCCTCAACCTGATGAAAAATAAAGGACCGTTTAAAGAAAACATTTCAGAGCATTTAAAGTCATCTGATACAGCTTCCTTTTCACATTACCTTTTGTGTCATGTTGGACTGAGAAAGGTTATTAAAGATGAAAGCTATTTTCTCCTGAACGGTGTCTGGGGGTTCTACAATCCTTTCTGTTTGATCAGTGGCCACCAACAGGGTGTCAATGTTGGTCGTGTTAATGGAAGGCTGGGAGTGTGGAAAAACACATGAAGTGTGGATCAATCATTCTGAGCACAAACAACACTCTTATTAGGGTTGAACTCGTCAAACCTACAGGCATGTCCTTCTTAAAGGTGCTGGGTGTGGGTCTTGTGATGGTGCTGGTTTTGGCTGCTGTGGTTGTGGTGGTGGTGGTGGTGACCAGGGTGCTGGGCTGGCCTGGCTGTGGGGGTTTGAGGCTGGCCGGCTGCTGGGACTGGGTCTGGGCTTGAACCTGGGCCAGAGCCAGGCTTCCAGGTGTGGTGATAGAGCCCTGCATTTTCACTGGAGGGTCCCGGGACTGTTGTCCATACTCTATATACTGCTCAAACACAGGACATTTAAAACTCTTAAGCTAGAAAGACAGAGGAGACACTCTGCATAGTTCAAATAGACAAAATAAGCAGTACTTAACAGACAAAAACTTGCTCACCTCTTGTAAATGGTGAGGAAACTGCAAAAAGTGAGCAATTGAGGCCAGGTGTTGACAATACTGAGGATAATCCTTAAGTCTAAAATAAATAAATAAATAAATAAATAAATAAATAAATAAATAAATAAATAAATAAGTTTAACAAAAATGAATTAATACTTATTTTGGGGGGGAAAAACATTTCAATACCTGTTTTTGAACCTATCTAGGGCAGCAATTCCAAAGTAATACATTTTTGATCCGTAAGGTTTCCGTAAGGCTTCAAGAACATATCGCAGGGCCAGACCCAGGGCCATGTAGGTCACAAGACCCTTTTCAATAATACCACCAAAGAGGCAGGCAGTGATGTGCAGCTCCTTGTCTGGGTACTGGGGGAAAAATCTGTACTCCTCAAACAAGTTTCGAAGCATGCAGTTGAATACTTCTCGTTCCCGCTTGATTGTTGAGTCCTTGAACCTTTGAAGCATCTCCAGTACCTGAACAGGAGCAAAGAAAAAATGAAATAATTGCATTGAAAACTTTTCTAACAAAGAGAAGAGTTAAGCTCGTTAATAAAACTAAATTGTTGACAAATAAAAAGACCCATTAAACCTACTTCATCTACAGACATAGTTGGGTGAGGTGGGTGGTTGTAGATTCGCTGGAAGTAGCTGTTTGCTTCATCATCAATCTCCTTGCTAAAGTGCTGGTTTGCTTCAGGCCACACCTGAGAAAGATCAGCTGGACAAAAAGAAAAAACAGAACATGGCACGTTTAGTCAGATTACCAATACTAGAGGGATGTACGCACAGTTACTGAAATCAGAGAAATCATGTGACTGTTTTAGGTACTAAAATGATAAATTAGGGTTTCATTAAGTTTTGAGAAGTCCATTTAGAGCAAAGCACTAAAAACATCTTTAGTGTCTTTCCACAGAAAGTGCAGTTAGTTAATGACAGCTTGACAGGAGTGTTGAACTATTGGATCCTCTATGAAATCTACCAAGTTCATAATGTCAATGAACCAAACACACACAGACCAGTCGGTCATCTGGAGGGATAAACCCAGCAGCGGAAACTGAAACTGAAAGTTTTTTTTTTTTAAATCACACAAACCCTTACACACAAAACAAACACATCAACGTGGGGGTGTCAGCATAAGCAGACAAGGAATGGAAGACTGATCTGTATTTCCTCTTTGACAAACTGAACCAAAACAATTCAAAGTGACAAGTGTTTAAAAAGCTGATTGTGCCAGATTTAAAAGCCTGGTGTAACATTTTCAAGTGAACGTTAAATTTAGAAATAAAAGATTTGATAGTGAGTACAGAGGAAATACAGTGCAGAGCAGCAGAGGGCTCTCAGTCACACCACCACCACTTACAGGCCTTCATCTTACTCTGCTGAAAGGTAGGCGGGTTCAAGCCCGGTGTGCTTATCTTCCTGGTACCAAATGGATCAGCGCTTACTGTTGGCATTCCCAGACTAAAGCCACTGTTCGATCCAATAGCTGAGCCCAATGGACCTGAAATAAAGACAACAGGGTTTTCATTTTTATTTATTAAAAAGATGTGCTGAACTTCAACCACGTGTGTCCTACGCTTCGACTAAAGCTTCAATAACAGAAGAAATATTAGTTTGATACTAGGGCTGGGTATAAGTCAATTCTTTGACCTTGGATTGATTTCATTTAATGTGGGAATATTGATTCATAGGGCAGGGGATCAATTTTTCCCCACGAAGTTAACCTCAGTCTTGAGCGCGATGAAACAGAAAACGCTTTTTATGTCCCTCCTGGCTTGCTGTACGTGTACATCCAGTTAGCATTTAGTGCAGACGTTGGCTTCTGACAAGTTGTCTGGGACAAAACCAAAGAAAATAAAGAATCACAACCATTACCTGCCAATTCTCTGCAGGACTTAAAGATAACAGAGAGCACGGCAACTTATGGTTGCAAAGATTTATGCTTTGACTCAGTGGAAAACAAAGGCTTGAAGCAGCTCGTCAGGGGCCCGATCCAAACTACTGTAGGTAAACATCTGACTCAGACTAGGGCTGGGTGATAATGGCTAAAAAATTATCATGATTCATTTTTTATAACGTCCAATCTCCATTTATTATCACCATTATTTTATCCTAAAATGTGTGTTAGTGTAAAGTGACTGAAAAATAATTTAACAAATAGTTACAGAAATAAAAAAATAATGGCTGTCATGTCACTTTCACTAATTCAACAAATAGCTGTGGTTCAGAACATTATATTCTTTTTGCAAGGAGTTTAAAATTTACCAAGAAAATAACATTCTTTGTGTAAAACATCTCACATTAATAAAGCTATCCTTTTGTAAAATAAAAGCTTTACAATTTAGTTTCATATTAAATATGTCATAAATGTAAAGCCTACAAACAGCAACAATATGTGCCAACTGAACAGGATCTAAGCTCATTATTTACTTACAGAAGGAACCCTCGCACCTCGTCTTCCTGTTAGCAGGTGACGGCAGGTACGGAGAGCAGCAGTGGTCAAAATACCTCAGAAACTCACCAAAACAAGCAAATGCTATGAGATTCAGCGTTTTATACTGGATTACATTTTGTTTGGTCAATTCCATGATTCCGTCTGCGTTTCCTTAGCTACTTATAAACGGAAGTGGAGAAGGAGAAAGTGGATTCTGATTGGCTGTTGTCACGCACATTTCCGCCATGTTTAATCAAGTAAAGAGGCTCACAGCTGTTTATCGTAATCAACATGAAATTTTTCTTGATCAACAATTACGATAAAATAATTGCCCATCCCTAACTGAAACAGGATGTATAATTGTGTGAAATACATTGTAACAAAACAGTTTCACTTATAATTCCTTCTTAATTTAAAAGCTTTGAAACTTCACCATTTTGTTTGATGTTCAAACTGATTAAACTGTCCAATTTACAAGTTTGTCCTTGAAACCTGTTGTTTATTGTGAAGACTTAGCCTGGCCCTTGCCTTCCTACACTTCCTTCACTGCTCCGTCTGGGATTTCTCCCACAGAGATGGATTTCTTCAGGAGAATTTTTACCTGGGCCAATCAGAAAACAGAAGGCGGAGTTTTGAACAACATTAATTTTCTGCTCAGTGTCTGCTAGTTATTTTAGCATACAGCAGTGGAGGAAGTGAATGAAGCCAGTCTGTGTTGATCAGGCTTCAAATTAAAATCAGTTTGTCTGACAAACAGCAGCTCTCATTTACACTCGTCTCATTCAGCTCGGTACTTCTCTCCTCTCAGTAGGGTTGTTTACAGCACACGTGATTTATGTTAGCTTCTTAGCTTAGCCTCCTTCACAGTGGAGCTGGCACGCAAACGTCACGGCCAACCAATCCAATCATTTTAAACTTAAGCAGAGACCACGCCTCCAGCAAGAATCACTTCTCTATAGCTGAGAGTCCAGTCCCTCGTACGAAGCCAAGTGAAGAACGGGCTGGTTTTTACCAGGCTAGTGAAGAGTTAAAATAAAATTAATTTGTATTCTGCAACACAGTTGAATCACTCTCATTATTTAAGAGCACATCAAATCGAATTTGAATTAATTTACAGAAGTGGTCACAATACCCAGCCCTATTTCATAATTCTGTGTGTATTTTGGTAAAGCTACTGTTTTCTGTTCTATACTTGATCATCTAATATTTACATCACTTGAATGAAACTGGAACTAATTTATTTCACGTTTTACAGAGAAGAGCTACAAATACACTGATAACGGTGTTGGCTTCCTGCCTAAAGGACATTGTGTTTGTGTAAAAGAAAAAAATCAAATATCTTAGTACCAGAGTCCATACCAGGGAGCTGCGAGCTGATATTAATACCCCCGAATGGTGTGCTGGGATTAGGGTTAGGGAGTGGTGGGAAGGCTTTTGCAGGGGACAGGGGGTTACTGAGAGCTGAACTCAGTGAAGTCTGGAAGCTCTGCATGCTCTGAGTGTGAGAGGAAGCTGTTCCCCCCAGGCTCAAGGAGCTCATACCGGTCAGATGGTCCATCTGAAGAAAAGCACAGAGTCTGAAGTTTGTTGTAGAACTGGACAATGTTACAGTCAAACATAAGGCAACACACAAATATTGAACACTCACTGCAAAGTATGAAATTCATTCAAAACTGTAATCAACTGTACAGTTTCAATCTAGTTTAAAATACTTTATTAATCCCAAAGGGAATTTAAAAAGTTTACTCCAGTAGTTTTGCAGATAGTCTGACACATAGTTCTGATGTTCAGGCCCACACTCGATAGCCAGCCAAACGGTCACATGAGCGTGCCTATAAGGATGTAGTCTGCAGGAAGATGAATACATTAGAATCTGAGGGTTTTTTTGTTAAACATTTTGTGAAAGGCCTACACAAAATTTATCTTTCTGCTTCCTGAATGATCAGAAATCACAGACACAGCCTGCTATGTTTCACACAGATGCTAGTTTTCAGAAACAAAGCAAGCATCATGAAACCAATAGAGGCGTGGAGCAGAACTCAGTCTGGTTGACAGTTATCAAAATATGGCGACGGTGTGTACAAATTTTGATGGTATGAGTCACGTGATGTGAAGCACCAAATTTCCATAAGGCTGGACAGAAAACTGGAACAGGAACAAAGACACCCCAGTGTCAGGTGTCTGAGCGAGGTAAAAAGAAAAAGAAAACCTCAGGAGCAAGGCTAGTGCGCAGCCAGACGTGTCCAGTAGGGCTGGGAAAAAACAAAACAATTTAAATCGATTTTGGATCTATTTAATTTAAATCTGAGAAAATGGCATGAGGTGGATTTTCCCCCAGTGCATGTTGTGTGTGATGAAGCTGGGCATGTTTGTGTCCCTCCTGGCTTGTTGTACTGTATGTTTATGTCCGGTTGACATTCAGTGCTAACATTAAGTTGTCTGGAGCAACACAAAAGGAATCACTCACATTACCAGCTGACTCTCTGCAGAACTGAAATATAACAGAGACCATGTGACTTTTGTTCGTAAAGATTTGCACTCAAAAGCAGTAGCAGAAAATGAAGCAGGTTCAAGGGGTTCAGGTGCTCAAACAAAAACTACTGTATGTAAATATATGACTGAAACTGTTCTCCCTGGCATGTAGAAAGTATGAAAGACAACATTCTAACCCAATCGTTTAGTTTTGTTACCAAACTTATTGTTAAAAACTAGGAAACATCTTGATGAATTTCACAGTGATGAAATGTTGTATCATTTTTTTCCACAAGTTTTTAACCTAACCCCTCAAAAGGAGTGAGCAGCAGTTAGGACTGGGTGATATGGCCTAAAATCAATATCACGATATATTCACCAGTTCACCTTGATAACCATAAATGCACGATAACGTTTACTACCCCCCACACACACACGGTATAGTTTAACACAGTCATAACATTATACACTGTGTCCATGTTCTTAGTCAAAGTACACAGTTTAGATTCTGAACAGCTTTTCTGTAGTTTGTTTGTAATTTTACTATTTTTAATATATTTAATAAAAAACATTTTTGGCAAGACTTGAGTCAGATAGTCATACAAATATTTAACCATCTCCATAACTTTTCAGTGCAAACAAACACATTATTATAATTTTATATTTAAAAGAATATACCAAATACAGTATGTCTTTTGTACTGCACAAAATAACTTAAATACATGATTTTATTTTTTTTAGACTGACTGATTTCCCCTATTAAAATAACTATTACTTCAAATTTGATTATTATTTACAGTATATATA